ATGGAAAATCCATGAAAATCCAAGAAAATCCCCACTTTTCATATGTTAAATTACCAGAGGCTATGCCATTCAGAGCCGGAAATGGTGCACCGCGGGCATCGCTTCGGTGCCAAGGTTTATGCAGCCCTTCTGCCGGAAGAGAAGAAGTGGGGACCTTGGGGGGGGAGACTGCTGGAACCACATGTGGCTGCAAGTGGAGTCATTTTCCAAACCATGAGTACCCTTTGGTAAACATACAAAAAGCTATTGAAAACGGCCATAGAAATAGTGAATTTTCCCATTAGAAATGGTGATTTTCCATAGTTTTTTGTATGTTTACCAGAGGGTAATCGATGGTCAAGAAAACTGATAGTCAAAACATTACACTTGCACATTGAAAAGTGTTTGTTTGCACCAGAAGATGATGACAATCGCAGCAATATTCATGGAGTGAGGGTCCCAGTGGCTCTTTTGACCCCCCCTGTGGGTGTCAGGGATGGCGACGGGGAGACCGTCGTAGAGGAACTGCCACGGTTTTTGAAGCTGGGTTGCACTGATGGCCTAAGAAGGCAGTCCCAAGAGTTCCAACCTGCAGTTGGTACAGAGTTTGTTAATGTTCAGTTCCTTGTCGCGGTATTTCTTGTAATAATGTAGTTTACTTGATTTTACTTGGACCACATTTCAAGATTCTGTGAACAATGTTTCATCAAGTGGTTCAGAATCATGGTCAAGTTTAGCTGCTTATATTATATATATATACTTTACACAGAGATAGCACCATTTTTACGTATACATCTTCAGTTTGTCTCCAAATATAAAGGTCCCACCCAGCGGGTTCTACAGCCATCAGTGACGTCTTCTGCAAGGTGTTGATACCTATATATAGTGAGTGATGTTTATTTGTTTATAAGCCCAACTACACTTATTTTCATCACCCTGCACCCCATAGTGAAATATTTGAAACCAACTTTAAGCTAACAATTCCCAACATAAATCAGCTCTAAATCTCCCTGTTTTCTTGCTTCAAATCTTTGTGTTCCCATCATTTTTCTGGCTTCAAATCACCATGTTCCATCATTTTCCATCATTTTTCATCATTTTCCATCATTTTCCCATCATTTGTCATCATTTTCCATCGTTTTTCATCATGTTCCCATCATTCTTCATGGTGAAATCATTGAGCTCCCAGCTTTTTTCACCATTTTCCCGGCCTCCACCGGCCTCCGTTTGAGGAACGTCAAGGACGATGCCCGGCGCACCACAGGACGCTTGGAAAGCTGGGACTCGGAGCGCGGCTTCGGCTTCATCATCGAGGAGAACGACACCAGCCGCGCGGCAGAGGTGGTGGGTGCTGGAAATCCAGTTGGGATATGAGATGATATTTATTATGGATGATATGGATGATATGGATGATATGGATGATATGGATGATAATCAATGGGAATACATGTATATATATATAAATAATTACACACAATGGTACATCCAATGGATGATATTTATCATATGATGTAAAATGTACCGCTATTATCAGTTATTTACCAGGTTTATTACCACTATAGTAACTATTAGGTGTATTATCAATATTTATGAGATGATATTTATTATGGATGACATTTCTTGTTCTTTTAATCATCATATAATGTATCGTATATATATATATATATCGGATATTTACGGGTTTTACATATTATACGAATTATATGTATTTATTGGTGCATATACACACATATATATATAATGATTATCTATGTGCATATATTAGATTTGATTTGCTAATGCCATCATATGATCTGATTTTTTGGGATCATGAATCCAAATGGGGACGGATTGGATGGAGCCTCGGCGCACCTGGGTGTGCCATTGGGCTTAGCTCAACTGGTCGAGCTACCCTCTGGTAAACATACAAAAAACATCAAAAAACTATGGAAAATCACCATGGTCAATGGGTAAATCCACTATAAATGGTTATTTTCAATAATTAGCAATGTTTGTTTACCAGAGGGTATGTTTTTACAATGGCATCGTGAATGTATTTGAGATGCTGATTCCAAGTGAACAATATGTCTAGCATGGCTTGAAACTGGAGAGAGCGATCTAAATAACTATCATTAGCATACTGAACCAAATATAAATTGGGTTTCACCTATTTTCACCTATAGGGTGAAACCCAATTTATATTAGCATGGTGAAAATAGGTGAACCCTGGTTTTCACCAGGGGTCCAGATCGCTCTTGGGACGTTTCAACGAGGTGAGATGCCTGTGAACATCTTCGTGCATCGCACCAACCTCATGGGTGGTGCGCCAGGTGAGTCGACCTGGTTGGATCATGGCGGATCTATGGTCTCCACGAATGGGAACCCAATTTGGGGGTACCCCATTTGCAGCCAAACCTGTCAATTTCTATCAATTAAACCTATCATGTTCTATGAATTTCTATCATGTTCTCTGTTTATCTCTGTTTTTTGGTTGCAGTTTTTAGGTCTGGTTGTTTTGAATCTAAAGGTCCTTAGCAACCTGGCGCAGGCTTTCCGGTGGACCTGCAGCAGGGTCGACGAATTAGCTTTCTGCCGGGCTTCCAGGCTCCTCGGTGGGGTAGGTTTTGGGTGACCAGTGATGGTTTGGACATGGAGAGTTGTGGCTGTTTCTCAGGAGCCCTCCTGTCGGATTTCAGCAATTACTTTACTTCGAGTGATCCCCACCATGACATTTCAAAACAGCTTGTTGACACCACTTTTGTCTGAAGCTTTTGTCACGGGACTTTTGCCCAACTAACTATCCCAATCATTTGTTTCACCTGGCAGGTCATTGTACAGGTCAGACTATCAAACAGGATATAAACATGTCAGTGGGCCATGTGAAGTAAACTCCAGAGCTCTCAACAGGTTTGTTTAAACATGACCAAACAAGTCCGTGGACCACCTGAGCCAAACAAACAAACATGCCCAAACATGTCAGCATGCCGCCTGTCAAACATGTTTGTACAAACATGACTGAACCAAGCCAGTGGACCCCTGAACCAAAGTCAAAGGCTCGCAAGCTCACATCTAAACTCAACAAAACCATGCCAGTGTTACTTCATCAGATCGCTGCAGCTGCAACTCTCTATTTCTCCACCAGACGTCTTCAATCAAAACCGATTAGGTCCCACAGGTAGAGCAACGTGTCAGGCCTATGCCTCCCCCGGACCTCTTCAGTCAAAACCGATTAGGTCCCACTGGCGGAGCACTGTGTCAGGATGCTTGCAATGCATCATAGACAGGCCAGGACTGCAGCCGCTCCAGCGTCGAAGCAGCTTTGGCTTCCAACTTGTCAGTCAGTTCTCGCAAGTAGGTAGGAGGGCCTTTGCGTAAAAGCTCCTCCACTTGCTCCGTGAACCCCAGCAAGATGAGATTCTTCAGTTTGCGGGCACGCGTCAGCATGACATAGATGGCTAGCCACCAGTCCGCATCCTCTAGGCCACCACCACGACGCAAATCAACCAGCACCCCTCCGTCCAAAGTCAAGCCTTGCGCGCTGTAAGCAGTGCGCAGCATGCCATGCAAAAGCGGGAACTGCCAGCGAATCACTTCAATTTTCTCCGTTTCCTCGCCTAGTTTCAAATCAATTTTGAACTCTGCATGCACCAATTCCACAAAGAACAATGTCTTTGCGTCAGTTGTGTGATCGGCCACATTCTGAAACTTTTCTTCCCACGTCTGCAACAGAGCATCTTCCATGGGCGAATTCTTTCCTTTAAGTAATTTCACCCATATACCTTTGGCCATGTAGTCCGGAAAAAAATGACAGAATCCAGGTTCACGACGGTCCAGGCGCTTCTGATCTTCATGGTGCAAATCCACTTTCACTACCACTGCCAGTTTGTCTTTAACCAATCCAAGGTGTGGAGCCAAGACATCCGCCAGTCGCACAACCATGTTCTCGTGCACCAGTAGCATGCCTTGCAATTTGCCAGTGCGATGCGGGTTTGGAACAGTGAGCAGCTGATGTGTCAGCTGCTTGTCTATGGCTTTATTTTTTTCTGGAATGCCTTTGGTCAGCAGCTTGCAAACAAAATAACGGCACATCCAGGTCTTGCGCATCTCGATTTGCCCGTTCCACCATGCTGCGAGCAATGTTCTCCCAATACATTCCAATGACGTGACCATGCTTGAACAAGTCCGTGGTTAGTTCTTTCTTGCAATTTTCGATTTTGCGAGTGCGCAGCTGAGCCAAGTGATCCTCGGACAAAGGAGCAGCAGGCGTGCACGTGCGCATGGCTGTTGTGATTTCTGGCAGGTGAGCATCCAGAAACCGCTTCGACTTCTTCAAATGAATCACTGTATCAATGGTCATCAATGGCGCCTGGGCAGCATGGTGTTCTGTCTGCACTCTGTGCGGCATTTTGCGGATCAGCTCTTCGAGATTGTCAGCTAAGGAGATCTCGTTGGCAGGCTTGATCTGCAAAAAATCACTTGCAATCAGCAAAATTGGTATGTGTCCCATGAGCTCTCCTGGGTGGAAATAGCTGGCTGGATCAAGGCCTTCATCTTGACGGGCGCGCATGCTGCGGTAAAGCATCATGTTTTCCACAGCAGCTGGCACCAAACTGATTTCATCTTGAATGACCAAAATTTTAGGCTGCCAGCGTTGTTTCATCTCTTGCTCTTTTGTCTTCAAGGCCAAATGCTTGTTGCGCAAACTGGCTACACGATACGAGCAAGCAGTATGACATGTTCGCGCGCGATAGACATCATTGGAAATGGCATCCGATTGGGCATGGCTGAAGGTGGCAATCATGTATCGCTCTTCTTCTCCGGGTCTGGCTGGAAAAAAGCGACAAAAAACATCCAGCATGAGCTCTAAAATGATTGTCGTCTTGCCAGTGCCACCGGCGCCAATCAAAAGGCATGCGTGCTGCGCACGTTTTCGCAAAGGTATTTTGTTCTCTTCTTCCTGTAAAGCGACATCCATTGCCTCACCAAACCATCTGCAAGCAGACAATTGCTCCGGCGCCAGCTTGAATCCAGCGGCAGACTTTTCAAACGCAGCAACCTTCCGCGCCATCGCTGCAGATGGCTTGCTAAAGGTGCGCCATTCTGCTTCTGGCATCGCGACATCACTGTTTGCAGCCAACTCTCCTGCGCGCTCTGCGCAGTCGCTCGTAGCAGCCCGGTCCGCCGACAAGCGGCTGAGGCCCATGCTATCATTTGTCATGGCGGCGCGCTGAGCATCCAGTAGCGGCTGCGTGATCATGGGCACTTTCTCTTTCAACCTCAGTTGTTCTGCTCGTGGATTCACTGCAGTGCCACTCGCGCGCTTGTAGGCCGCAGTTCTATGCAACGCTTCTTCATCCCCTGTCAAGGGCAAAAGGCCCACAGAAATCATGTCGCGCACAAACTTGGTTTGCTTTTGACGATGAAAGGTCATGGCTTGCGAACGCTGCGATGAAGTCAGTGGATGATGTACTTTTAAGGGCGCATCTCCAGCCTTCAGTCGAACCTCCCCATCGATGTCTGGATCCAAAGCATCTTCGAAGGCTGGTTCAAAGGATTCGCCAGTATCTCCAGTCCCGTGGCCTTCACGCACTAATCCTGGATCTTCTTTTGCATCTGCGTCCAAAGCATACGACTTGGTTTTGGGTGCTGCCTTAGCACGTCCATAAGCATCTAAATTCTTGACCACTCTTTTTGTCAAGTAGCAAACATACTCTTGGACAGTCAAACGGTTCTGCAACTTTGCACTCGCATGCCCAAAGGAAAAGGACGTGATCGGATCAACATTGCTGTAGGTGGCAGACTCATCTGAATGAGGGCTGATTCCATGATTTTTGTTGTGATCATTCCAGTTCCACAACACCTGCCACGACTTGTCAAGCCAAGTGGGACGCAGGTCTCGATTCTGAAAAGCTTCATAGTTCTTCATCAATGTGGCGTCCCATAATTTCTCAAATCTGCTTCCAGCTTTCCACATGGCCGATGAAGTTGGCACGTGTTTCTGGTGAGCGTCAGCTCCAAAGATGGAGCGACACAGACACGGAGCACGCGTCACCTGCGCACTCCAGTAGTACACAGTCCATCCGTCAGCATTCAGCATCTGCTGCGATTTCGTTGGGCGAGCATTGTTGTTGCGAACATTTTCTTCCCAACGTTGAATCTCTTCCAGCTGTGGCGCGATGAGATCTCCGATCTCGAAGAAGGGCCTTCCCTCAGCACAAGCGCCTTTGGCGAAGAGCAAGAAAGATTTATTCGATCTATGCGGCAATCTCTCTGCATAATTCTCATAGACAACGTCTACACCAAACAAAAGCTGCGCAAATTTCACAGTGTCATCCCAACTCGTGACACCAAATGGCCATGATCTCTTTGCCATGGCTCTTGAAACACAAGACCTTCCCGGTCAAAACCAGTTCAGTCCCAATGTGTTCAAACTTCCCAAGTGCAAAAAGACAGTGTCCATCTTGCAGTGTCAAGCGACATCTAACTATCTAGATCGTATGTAACTTCTCCACTCTTTCTCACTGAAACATTTCGAAGAGATACACCTACTACATTTATATTCTCAAGCGTTTCATCTCCCTATCCTTTGAGCACTATTATCTTATTCACGTTTCTGCTTGTGCTTGAGCTCGCGTCGGCTGTTGCGCAAGGTCCCAAAGCACAAGCTGCTTTCCAAATCACTTATCCAACACTTTTGAAAGCAGCCACTGGCCAATGTGCTTACTTCCACTCAAACTCCTCGCCTGCGCAGCACTCGCAGATTGGTCACCCTCTGCCATCACCTGCCAAGCAAACAAAAACACGCAAGAAGACACTACTGATCACATAACCTCCTCCTGCTGAATGCTTCTATGATGATGTCCATCCTGCCTCTGGCCCGCGATCGAGTAGATGAGGGCTCAAATGCTCCAACAAATGTTCCGATGTCACATATCCACCATGCTACCATAGAATAGAAACTCTGTGTGATTGTGACTGTCTCAAGCATCAATCCAGCATGAGATCCCTTCAAGTAATTTGTAGTAACTTGCTGTAAGATGTTGCCTGTCTCAAGCGTCTTTGCAAACAGCTCCAAAGGTACAGAAATGGAAATGTCTCTGTCCACCCCAGAAATTTGCCAGATAGAATGCCAGAAAATATGCCAGAAGATATGCCAGATAGATATGCCAGAAGAAATGCCAGAAGATATGCCAGATAGAATGCCAGAAGATATGTCAGAATATATGCCAGAAAGATATGCCAGATAGAATGCCAGATAGAATGCCAGAAGATATGTCAGATAGAATGCCAGAAGATATGCCAGATAGAATGCCAGAAGATTTGCCAGATAGAATGCCAGAAGATATGCCAGATAGAATGCCAAATAGAATGTCAGAAGATATGTCAGATAGAATGCCAGAAGATGTGCCAGTAAGAACATGTATAAATGTCATGCTGGGGATCACACGAAGTAAAGTAATTTCTTCTGCACATTCTTTGTCCCATATCTTCCTACATGAGGTCCGGCAGGGAACACTTGGCATGGATCCTCGCGGTTGAGGTCCGGCAGGGAACACTGGGCGTGGATGGTCGTGGTTCAGGTCCGGCAGGGAACACTGGGCCCGGATACTCGCGGTTGAGGTCCGGCAGGGAACACTGGGCGTGGATGGTCGTGGTTGAGGTCCGGCAGAGAACACTGTGGATCGCGGGTCGCAGTTGGACGAGGACGACGAGGACGACGAGACGAGGAGGACAACGAGAGGAGGAG